CCGATCAAATTTTAAATAATCCCAAAAATCCATCTGATTCCATTATGCTCTATGTGATTCCACCCATCCAAATAAAGCCTAAATATAATCAAAGAAAACATTGAATGTTGTCTGAAATGGAAGTCTAGCTAAATCCCAAAAAATATAGAAGAAAGAAAAGCATCAAGAAGTGTGAGGCTCTAGTGTGCAATGCTATGCAGTATCTCAAATCCACGACGTTGCTGTTATCACCATCACCCTTGACATTCTCCCACGGTTCTCTGAAGCACACCAAATGCTTCTCTTCTTTATCTTCTTCAACGGTTTCTCCTTGGTCTGGTCTCCATTCATGGAGGCACAGTCCCCTCAACGAGAATCGCAACTGGGGTCCCCTTGGTCCTCACCCCGCACAGGAACCCGACCTCAATGACTCCCCTTTCGGTGAAGCTTCTTCATTGGCTGAGTTTGGTTCCATTGTTCTTTCTACTACCGACCCTCTCACCAAGTCCCATCTCTCCCACGTCGCTTACTCCCTCTGGCGCCGCCACAATGTTCCTATTGGCCTCTCCGATCCTCCATCTCGACCTGCCCGACCAGAAAAACCTATACTTGTTCGTTCTATCTTTCGCCCACCACGTGTTTGTTTTAATTTCTGAATTGCTTATTTCAATACCCATTTTCATTTTTGTCAACATAAAGTTGATAAAAAAAGTAACTTGACTATAAAAAGTTTAGGTTCAAATTGTGATTCATTAAAATAGATTGAGCTTCGCCATAATGAATTGAGATTCATGATGATATTTGAGGTTCATATTCAAAATAAATAATAAACGTAGTGATTTATGTCAATTGGATTCAATTTTGTTTTGAATTTAGATAGGATTTACTTGTGTTGTAAGATACTGGTAATCTTGGTAAGGTGTATAATGAAGTTGGTTTCTTTGATTTCAGGTTTCCCCTAGGGAAATTCCTGCTCCTAAAAATTCGGGTTTGCCTCTGAATGCTTATTTACTTCATAATCTAGCACATGTGGAGCTTAATGCAATTGATTTGGCTTGGGACACTGTTGTTCGATTTTCTCCCTATAGTGATCTTCTTGGGGAGGGGTTCTTTGCGGATTTTGCTCATGTTGCTGATGATGAGAGTCGTCACTTCTCTTGGTGTTCACAGAGGCTTGCTGAACTGGGTTTCAAGTAAGGGCAGTTTAGTTGTTACTTCGATATATGGCCATAACTAGTTGATTGTGCTGCTTTTTTATTTTTTATTTTTTATTTTCGCTTCTCTTTTCAAACTAGATATGGAGATATGCCAGCTCACAATTTGCTATGGAGGGAATGTGAGAAATCATCAGACAATGTTGCTGCACGTTTGGCAGTGATCCCACTAGTCCAGGTAACTCTCTCCCGGGCATTGCTTTCAATTTTCCATTTAGGTCTCAAGTAGAGGCTTTCCACCACATTATGGTCATCAGCATGATTTGAAGTAAAAAATGCTTAGTGAATATGATGATACAACTATTTTCCTGGGTTTGCAATTCATTTTTTTTTTTTGAAATCTTGGAATCCGGTCTTGCAACCGACTAATCTAAGAGGACCAATCCCACCGTCCAGCTCTGTATGGACTGGCCCAACACAAGAATTGTTAGCATCTAGTAGGATTCGAACTCAGGACCTTGAGAGGAGGAGCACACTCTCAAGGCCCAAGCCTCCACCACTTGCAATTCATTTTTGTTTGAGCGTATCAGTTATAGAATATGTATCGAGTGAAAATACTCGTACTGATTTGATAATGTGCAGTACTTTATGCTTTATATGCTGCTGATACGTTTAGACACCATTGTCGATTTGAATAACATTTTCCAGTCAATTGTGAGTTGAAATTGATGCCCACAACTGCAAAACTTGTCTGGGAAGTGTGTATTTTGGTGAAGGTTTGTAGATGACTCTTATATAAAACCTGATTATATAGGGCTCGTTGATCAACTTCCTGTTTGAAAATATGATGATCGGCATGAGTCCATAAGTATTTACCTTTTACGGATGTGGAAATGTTTGTACTAAAATACTAGAATGACTAAAACTGCTTCCCCTCGGTATTGGTTCCTTGCCACAGAGACTGTTCTGATATAGGATATAGGTAAATAAGTAAATTAAGTTTGTTTGGTGCTTGATAAGAGTTGTTATTTTGGTTATTTTTAGAAAGTCTTTAAATTCCCCTCTACTGTAGGGGCGAAAGATAGCTTTGAATATTAATTGTTCTTAGAAAGTCTTTAAATTTTCCTCCATTGTTATTTTGGTTATTCGTAGAAAGTCTTCGAAAGTCTTTAAATTCCCCTCCATCGGTATTGGTTCCTTTGGGGTAGCCTTGAGTTCAAGGTATCATCTTCATCGTATACCTTTTGTATCTTCTCTTTCAATCCTATTATCTCAATCAATTGATAGTAATAGAAAGATCTATGTCTTATTAGATTCAACAAATTTTTACGTTGGATGTTGTAACATAAAGAGATTCAAAGAATTCTTCTTTTTCTCAATTTTGTTGATCAATCTTTATTCTAGTTAGAATTATTCTCTTGTTTATTCAACTTTTCCTAGTTTTGGAATTCTTTCCATATATCAAAAGGTTCCTAACAAAGACAGATAGATAAGCTTTGAATTATGTAATGCTGACCTGATATTCTAAATGTACATATTTATTGTGCTTATAGGAGGCTAGAGGACTTGATGCTGGACCACGTTTGGTGCAAAAATTAGTTGGCTTTGGAGATAATAGGACATCTAAAATTGTGGCTAGAATTGCTGAAGAGGAAGTTGCGCATGTAGCAGTGGGGCTTTGCTGGTTTCTTTCTATCTGTCAAAAAATGAACCGCACCCCAGACTCCACTTTTAAAGGTCAGTAAGCCTATTTAAAAGCAAGTAAACTATCAATTTAGTCTATAAAGTATCATTACTCTTTTTCACGTTTAATCCCTAAAGTATATACATAATAGTCTCCAAAATATATGAAATTGGTCATGTTAACCTCTAACATCTTAATACTAATAGTATACACTAAATTAACAAATTGTATTTACTTTAAGGACTATTTATTATATTTATATACTTTAGAGACTAAATTAGAGCAAGAGTGATATTTCAGGAACTGAATTGATGGTTTATTCATTTAAGAACAATTTATCTGCTCCCATACAAGGTTATCAAGCTCAACATGAGATTTTTCTAAAACCATGCAGACTTGCTCAAGGAATACAATGTGGAACTAAAAGGTCCCTTCAATTATGCGGCTCGAGAGGAAGCTGGCATTCCCCGTGATTGGTAAGAAGCTATGTGTAGTTGTGGTTGTTTTCTTGTCTGTAAGTATGACATAATTGAAAATTTCCATCCTACTGATATCATATTAAATCTTACAAATTTTAACTGCCTATTTTCTCTTGTAGGTATGATGCACCATCAACAAGAAATCAAGAAAAGAAAGACAAAGATGACAATAATAAACACCTCTCCGAAGTAAGTTTCACAATCTTGGTTTGCAACTCTGTATAAAGGCTACTTGCCGTTCCCTCCTATGACAAAAAATTATGGTTCCTTCCTGTCTTTTGGTTTAATATTGATACATATGGACGTGGTGTTATAGGTTTATGAGAGGGTAACTTCCATCATTGCTATGGAAAGAGAGAATTTAAGTTTGACAAGGCCACCTGAATGATCATGGCAGAGACAATGAGCAAATTTTGTCTTCAACTGGAAAGTTGTTAGCTGATATAGGAGCCTGTCTGCCCAACAGCCAACAAGCCAAAGAGTTTGGTAATGCAATTCTTTCATTAGCAAAATTTTCAACTTTGACTGCAGGTGCTGATGCAAACTCCAAATTTCATTTGTCCACCCATTGATCAACTATTGCTGAGAAGCGTGAACTAGAGGGAATGACAAAATTATTGTTTACTTCTTCCCACACATATAAGTTACACCAGTTGTTGCCTGTTAGTATAAACCCTAATGCAATGTACATACAAAAAATTTATAGCAACAAATCCAATGAGATTGAAGTCAATGATCATAGCTTAGCTTATTTTTTTAGAATGCCTTTATATATTTGTTGCATTATGTATGGGCAAAAGCTCGTTACTACTAATACTACTGCCGTCTCAAATTATAACTTGTTTCTGCCTTCAATTATAATTATTTTACAATTTTAATGAAATATTAATATTTATCTTTTAATCATATTATTTACTATTTATTATTATTTTTTTCAATTTTTAAAATTTTATTTTTCATATCGGGATTATAAATTATTTTTCATACAAAATTAATTATTAATTATGTTTGAACACAATTTTGAATTGAAACCCTACTGTGGCATAATGGAGAAGTAATAGAACATGCTAGGCTGTCAATATTATATGGTGAGGCATATTAAGAATTTGAACAAAGCATTATTGACGAATATAATCTTATAAAGCATAAAAGAAAAATAATTTAAGTAATGGTCATCAAAATGATATAGTTTTCAATCAATTATAAATATTTTCGTATCTTGTAATGTAAAATTAAATATTTTGATTGATATATTATATACTAATAGTATTAGCAATAGTAAATATATTAATACCGTCAAAATACATTGTATAGTAATTGTATCACCAATTGTCTGTGTTTAGGAAAGAAAGAAAAAACAAACTTTTCATGAAAAAAGAAAAGTTTATATATTTAAGACTTTGTTATTTTATTGACTTTAATGAATAATTCAATCTGGAAAAACAAATATATAACTTTCCTTTCCTGGAACATTAATTGTGCAAGCTGTGTTTATCTGTTGTCACAGTACATAGTTTGCTTTGTCTTTAAGCCTTTTTAATAAATTGAATCATCACAAAACGTATCAAACTTTGCTTTCCTAAAAAAACAACAAAAGAGTCAGAACAAGAATCGTTAAGTTCCTCCTTCTTCTTTTTCCTCTTTTCTGTCTTTTTATCACCTTTCTCAAAGAAACAAACAGAAAACTGAAAATTCATAGAAACTATGTGTAACTCAAATGGTGATTGCAGACCCTTAGGTTTTCTCTTGGGTCTACCCTTTGCTTTTCTCTGCCTCATCATCTCAATCATTGGTATTATTGTATGGATCGTTGGGTAAGTAACCATCATACTCATCATCATCACTCTTTTTCTATAATCAATTTTCTGTAAATTTACCATATGATTTCAATTTCTGTGATATGGGTTTGATTCTAATTGAATGAAAATATCAAAAAGACTAAAACTTTGGTTTTTTGCAGGTTGACACTGACATGTATATGCCCCTGCTGTTTGTGCTTGACAGTAATTGTGGAACTTGCTTTGGAATTGGTAAAGGCTCCACTTCATGTTATGGAATGGTTCACCTCTAAGATCCCATGTTGAAATTCCTTTTACTCTACCAATTCTATCATACACTATACATTTCTTTAGAATTGTGTTTCAATTTATTTTCATCCTTTGTTTTAGTGTTTTTTCAAGTTCTTGATTAACCATGTTTGGATTGATTTGTTAGAGATTATCTACCAGAAGAACAAGTATTAATGAGATTATTTAGTGTTCTGTCTTGTGCATATATTATACTTATGAAATTCATTGTTGTTTTGGCTGAAATGATTTTGAGATCTGATATACTATATTGTTATTGTTGGGAATCGGATACCTTTAAATAAAATATAAACGGTTTCTTAGTAAGAAACACACAAGGGTTAGGGTTAATAAAGAAGAAAATAACAAGGATTGATTATTAAACTGCTATTCTTTCCTTTCTCTTAGAACAAGACTACAAGTATACAATAATAACAAAATAACCCCTCTCTCTTGAAATTATGATTTTATCTTCCTATTTTTCCTTATGCCAAGATTGAGAAACTAGCATCCTATTTATAATAAAATAACACACTAACCTAATGGATTTTTTAACAATTACCCATTACAAGTTAACTTAGGATACAAGCTAACTTAAACAACTGAGTTTACAAGTATGACCCAATTCAACATGCTAACAACCCTAACAATATTGACTAATGCATGTTAGAACAAACTTCGACTACAACACGCATTACTCGCGAACAGACTTCAACCATACTAGAGTTCGATCCAACATCTCACAAATCTCTATCTTGGATCTAACTCTATAACATCAAGAAACTAGCTTTCTTCATGCAGCTTTATTAACTGCATACAGTGGAAAAACTTGCAACTGGGCAATGTCTTGGTGATCATATCAGCAGCATTATGATTTGTCGAAACCTTCAGCACTTGGACTTCTCCACGCTCGATTACCCCTCTGATGAAATGTAGCCTCACATCAATGTGTTTGGTTCGCTCATGATAGACTGAATTCTTCGACATGTGTATTGCACTTTGACTATCACATTTAACAGTGATAACTCGACCTTGAAGTTTTAGCTCCTTTGCAAAACCTTCAAGCCACAATGCTTCCTTCATAGCTTCAGTTAGGGAAATATACTCCGCTTCAGTGGTTGATAAGGCAACGACCTTCTGAAGTGTTGCTTTCCAACTGATTGTTGTCCCAAACATAGTGAACACATATCCAGAGATAGATTTTCTGGAATCCATACAACCTGCATAATCAGAGTCGACATATCCTTCGATTTTTGCTTTACTATCTTCACCCAAGGTTCCACCATAAATTAAGACTCTATTCAGAGACCCATTTATGTACCTTAAAATCCACTTCAATGCTTTCCAGTGAGTCTTTCCAGGATTCGCCATGTACCTGCTTACAAGACTTACTGCATATGCTATGTCGGGTCTAGTACATACCATAACATACATCAAAGAACCTACTATGTTAGCATATGGAATGCTATTCATATAAGTTCTTTCAACATCAGTGTTGGGACACTGATCTATACTCAGCTTAAATTGAGGGTTTGTCGGAGTCACAACAGGCTTTGAATTCGACATACCAAACTTTTTGAGAATCTTCTGCAGGTATGCCTCTTGAGATAAACATAATTTTGGCTGCTTTCTATCTCTCCGAATGTCAATCCCAAGAATCCTGGACGCAGCTCCCAGATCCTTCATGTCGAACTCTTTATTGAGTTCAGCCTTCACCCTCATTACCTCTTCGACATTGTTGCTTGCTATTAGAATATCATCCACATAGAGCACCAAAATAACAAATGAATTACCCGGTCGAAATCTGAAGTAAACACAGTGGTCGAACTGACTTCTGATGAAACTTATGTGTGTCATGAACTTGTCGAATCTCTTATTCCACTGTCGAGGAGATTGTTTCAGTCCATATAAAGATCTATTTAGTTTGCACACATACTCTTCCTTCCCCCTTTTGACATACCCTTCAGGTTGCCTCATCAGGATTGTTTCATCTAGATCACCATACAAGAACACAATCTTCACATCCATCTGTTCCAGTTCAAGGTCGAACTGGGCCACCATGGCAAGCAACATTCGAATGGATCTGTACTTCACAACAGGAGAGAACGCATCATTGAAGTCGATACCTTCTTTCTGAGTGAACCCCCTAGCAACCAATCTTGCCTTGTATCTCTTCGATGTCACTCCTTCGATTCCTTCCTTAACTTTGAAAATCCATTTACAGCTGACTAACATGGCACCAGCAGGTTTCTTGATCAGTTCCCAGGTGTTGTTATCATGAAGAGATTTCATCTCATCATCCATGGCCTTCATCCACTTAGTCTTCTTTCGACTCCTCATAACTTCCTTATAGTCTCTAGGTTCTTCATCTAGAACCTCACTAGCAGAGATTAAAGCATAAGCTATAAGATCTGCATACCCAAGTCTCTGAGGTGGCTTGATGACTCTCCTCAACCTGTCTCTTGCTAGAAGGTAGTCATTATCAGTCTCCTCATCTTCGACAACATCTTTTTCATCGTCTTCGACTTCATCTGGGGTAAGCAATTCAGAATCAACATGCTCCACCTCAACAGGAATCTCTCCCTGTTCCAGCTCTTCGCCAACATCATCAGTTTTCTTGAAACCATCTCTGCTTCATTGAAAACTACATCTCGACTGGTGATACACCTCCTGTGACCTGGCTCGAGGCACCATAGCCTATAAGCTTTGACTCCTTCAGGGTATCCCATGAACATGCATTTCAGAGCTCTAGGTTCGACCTTGTCTTGCCTAATATGAGCATAGGCCACACAACCAAATACTCTCAGCTTGTCGAGACTAGGTGGATGTCCCGACCAAACTTCTTCAGGTGTCTTCATTCCCAAGGCAGTCGAGGGACATCTATTTATCAGGTAAGCTGTTGTCGAAACAACTTCCGCCCAAAACACCTTCAATTCAACACTAACCAATATGCATCTGACCATTTCAAGGATTGTTCGATTGAATCTCTCAGCTAAGCCATTTTGTTGAGGAGTACCTGCTACTGTCTTATACCTTGCAATCCCAGACTCAGCACAATAACTGTTGAATGCTTCTTGCAGAATTCAAGGCCATTGTCGGTTCTCAACCTTTTGACCTTTCTGCCAGTTTGAGTTTCGACCAGAATCTTCCAACTTTTGAAATTCTCAAAAGTTTCATCCTTCGTCTTCTGAATGAATACCCATAGCTTTCTGGAATAGTCATCAACGACGGATAGAAAATACCTTGCACCTGAGTGTGAAGGATTCCTTACAGGCCCCTAAAGATCAGCATGAATGTAATCCAGGAATCCATGTGTTCTTTGCTTGCCTTTGTTAAACTTCTCCCTACAGAATTTACCAAATACACAAGATTCACAAAATTCCAACTTTTCGACTTTGTCACCTCTTAGCAGGTTCTGCTTCCCCAATTCGACCAGGCCTCTTTCGCTGACATGGCCCAATCTCATGTGCCATAATTCTGTCTTCGACATAAGTTTCGTGGATGCAACATTTTTCGAACCACTTACAACCTCAGCCTCAAGGGTATACAAGCCTTGTTTCTTCACGCCTCTCAAGACTTCCTTCGACCCCTTCATGACTCTTAGGATACTTTTCTTTCCTTGAAAAATGTATCATTTTCTATCGAATTCACCAAGAGAAATCAAATTTCTCTTCAAGTCAGGTACGTACCTGACTTCAGTCAATAACCTTATTGACTCATCATGGAGCTTGAATCTCACAGATCCAATACCTGCAATTTTGCAAGATTTGTTGTTTCCCAGCAGCACAGATCCACCATCTTGATCACATAGCTCATCGAACAATTCTCTGTTTGGAGTCATGTGCCAAGTGCAACTTGAATCCATAATCCACTCTTTCCTCGAGTCGCCACTTGAAACCACAAGAACATCAGATGAGTCGAAGTCATCTTGAACAATGGCTGCATTTCCATTACCTCCATGATCTTTCAGGCGTTCAGGGCACACCTTTCTTATGTGACCCTCCTTCTTACAGTGATAACATCGAATACTAGATGTTTCGCCACTATAAGACTTCTGTTGACTTTTACCTTTCTTCTTGTCGAACTTACCATCCTTTCGCAAGAATTTTCCCTTAACGGCCAAACCTTCGCCCACTGTCGAAGGTTTATGCTCCTTTCGTTCGTTCAAGTCCTTAGAATACAAGGCTGATTGAACTTCTTCAAAGGCCAGGGACTCCCTTCCATACAAGAGAGTTTCTTTGAAGTGAGCATGCGTTCTGGGCAAAGCACACATCATCAACAGTGCTTGATCTTCATCATCGATCTTCACATCAATATTTTCAAGATCAAGAATCAACTTATTGAACATATCCAACTGCTCAGCCAACACTTTGTCTTCACTCATCTTGAATGAATATAAAGCTTGCTTCAGGTAGAGTCGATTCACCAGAGATTTGGTTATGTACAAACTTTCAAGTTTCACCCATAATCCCGATGTTGTAGTCTCCTTTGATACCTGTCGAAGAACCTTATCACCAAGGCTCAACAATGTTGCGCTGTGGGCTTTCTCGATCATGCCCGTCTTTTCTTTTGCCGTTAACGCAGCGTCCATGGCTGCCTCACCCTTCAACGCTTTCAAACAACCCTGCTGAACCAATAGGGCTTTCATCTTCAAGCGCCACAGACCGAAGTCGTTCACTCCGGTGAATTTTTCAATCTCATACTTTATTGAAGACATCTTCTCCACGCTCACCGCACAAATTTGTTGTGAATCGGATACCTTTAAACAAAGTATAAACGGTTTCTTAGCAATAAACACACAAGGGTTAGGGTTAATAAAGAAGAAAACAACAAGGAATGGTTATTAAACTGATATTCTTTCTTTCTCTTAGAACAAGATTACAAGTATACAAGAATAACAAAATAACCTCTCTCTCTTGAAATTAGGATTTTATCTTCCTATTTTTCCTTATGCCAAGATTGAGAAACTAGCATCCTATTTATAATAAAATAGCACACTAACCTAATGAGCTTTTTAA